TGTCAGTCATGTCAGTCATGTCAGTCATGCCAGTCATGTCAGTCATGTCAGTCATGGTCATCATGTCAGTCATGGCCATCATGTCAGTCATGGTCATGTCATCATCAAGGATGACATCATCATCAGTCATGTCATCAGTCAGATACCCAGTCAAGGATGACATCATCACCAGTGTCAGGACAATTGAGACCGGACGACTTGTGTCCAACAAGGTTGGGCAAAACGGGATTGCATGGGTCATAAAAGAGCGCTTGACTGTGCTGTCGAACACGGTCGGGAATGTCATGAGGTCAGTTAGGCCGAGCTAAATGGGGTATGGTAACACTGGAAGCACGACAAACTAGTTACAACGGGACCAGGTCACACTTGCAGTTCTGATCAAGTAATTCAACTGGAATGCGTCTTTGTCCAAGCAGAGTCACACCAAACATGATTAGTTGGCAGTTGGGGTAGCAGGAATCAAAACATGCCAGGCAACAATTATTTTCCTTGAGTCGAGTTTCTGTTTTGCACTCAAAGGATATGGTTTGCATAAATGGCAAAAAAAAACGACGCGTCGCAGTTACCTTTACACGAAACTTCACAGGTAAGCAACCGTATCAGGATCCTTAAGAAAAGCTTGTTAAAATATGTTTAATACCTGTTTGTACGATATTTGGTTGCATTCCTTCTTATTACAATCATATCTATATATGCATATATATATATATATGCGTATACATATGTATACATACATATATACCTGCTCTAAGAACTAGAGGTGTAAACTGGACTCCTTTTTTGAAATTTCAAACGTTTTCAAAACCTAGTTCTAAAATTAGACGCACAGGGATAAACATCTGGATTTTTTGGACGGCCCATATTATTCTGTTGCTCTGCAAATTATATGCATCTCAACTTATTTAATGCTCCTTATTTTCAAAAATTTAAGTCCAGAGCACAAACAAGGTGGAGATAGAGTAGATAAGGAAATATTCTTTTTTGAACATGAGATAAAATCCCTCATGGCATGCACTGCCACATATTTCTTGGGCCGTGGGACTTATAAACTGAAATGGGAGCGCGAGCACCGATGTCCCCAACTCTCGCAGTTCCCATCAATTTTGGATTACCGCCTTACGACTGGCGCTCTTGGGACAAAATAACAATTTTGTGAAACTGGAGATTTTTGAACAAACTGATTGTTAGACTATTTTGGACGGACGCCTGGCCCATCCTTGCACATTGCATTTAATTTTGGACGAGGACTTTTAGAAAACGGTACCTGTGGTTTGAACCGGGATGGTAAATCGCTGAACGCTCTAGCCAATGTGTTCCAAGCTGTGGGTTCGCATCCCGGACACTGCACAGCTTTTTCATTTCGTCGCCACGCCAAAACGGGAATTAACTAGAAGCATCATTTTCCTATGCTATCAGCTGCACCTAGAAAGTATTCTGTTTTTTATCGGAAGGCTTGGTTGGCACGACCGTGGTTTGACTCAGCCGTTGCCTGGAGCTGGATATGTTGGTTTGGGGATGCAAAACAATGTGTCTGATCAGCCCACGAATTTGTAGCATGCAAACAGCAGCCAGTGAGGTGGCATGACGTGCATATGCATACACCCCTGGGTAGTTTACACACACACACACACACACACACATATATATATATATATATATATATATATATATATATATATATATATATACATATCATCTTCGCGTAACATTACGCGCCTCCAAAATGTCTTCGCTGATCCGCCACCCACAGCACCAATGGGCAGGTATCAGCCGAAGTCCATATTTCCATGCTATCAGCGCATGCGTGCGAAAACATAGTTATATGGTTTAACCAGAGGATGCAAATTTGCAGGGCGTTCTATTTTGTGGTCAGGATTCACCTACGAGGGGCCAAATCAGCTAATCAAGGTTCTTTCAGCCACGAGGTCCCTCTTTCCTTCGACATCCTTCGTCCTGTTCTCGGCTTTGGGAGACCTTGTTAGCCTCGGGGCTCTTTTTTATATCACGCGGCAGGTTTTTAAGTCCTTCGAGAGGGCAACACAATTTGTTCAAACTCAAACAGCGCTGGGCCTTCGGATCAGGAGAAGGACGGGACCATGGAAGCCCAAAAACCTTGGCTACGCTGCTTCTGATGAGTACCAATGTGGCGAATAGGGAAAGAATGTGAGCAGAACTACATATACAACGTTTTGAGACTGCAACGTTGCGCGATACATAAATTTGTCTACACGAAGACCCGTGTGTGTGTGATAGTTTGCATTTGCAGAGATTTGCGCATGATCAAATTGTATGCAAAATGGAGAACGCAAAGTTCCTCCGAAGGAAGTTTTGAGTATGAGGAAACACGACACGAGAAAACCGGCAGGCTTTTTCTTCTAGCCACTTGCGCACAATTCGTTCAGCTCGTTGCCCAGGTTTTTCCAATGGCTTCCGAAGTGTCGCGCCTGTGGTGGTGATGCACGCCAACACAAGTCTTGCACTGGCAGACAGGGGACAAAAAAGGTAATGATTTCCTCTAGTCCGTCAGTCAGTCATTGACAGCTATATAGGGTCAGTTTAGTAATTAGCAAAGCGGCATGATATTCACACAAGAGAGCTTAAGAGCCGGTTGTGTGCTGCTGGTAATGGCCGGCTAGGATTAAGGAAGACAAAAAATGGTGATTACCAGCCATCTGATGCGGCAAGCGTCATTCTCTCCCAGAATAAGTTTTTAAGAACATCCAGCTAAGCGCATTCAACGAAATCCGCCCTTGCAGCCTTCTAAAGGCTCCGGCCTAAGCCCGACGTCATTTCTGTAATGGCTCTCGCGAGTGAAAACAGCTGACAAATGGTGGCTGTCGCCCGGGAACGGTATGTCATTAGACAGCTGGCTTCCGCCGCCCCGAAAGGCAAGCGCCGAATGATAGGGCTCACAACACCCGGCGAGATCTGGGGGTAACGCGTGCAGGGAGCAGTCGAGTGGAGTGTAGGTCAGTTAGCTTGAGTAGCGGCTCCCAAGAGCTGGTGGTTAAAGCACGCAGTCGCGTTAGAGCGCAATGGTGGGCGTTATCGATGGGCGGTGAAAGCGGACAACTGTTATGAAAGTTGTTCTTAAGTCTCACTCAATTAATATGTGTGCTTTACTCCCTTTTTGAAAACCTCTATGCAGTTTCTGTCAAGGTGCATATACTAGTAATAAGCGTACAGTAATTGTGTGAGTGTGTATATTTCTATATTACATCCACGCCGCGTTATTCATTGCAGTGGGTATGAAAACACAATATGCGTGCGTATGCCCTACGCTCTCGAGCATCTTTGACCCAGCAGATTACAGATGATTCCGTGACAAATTTGCCATTTGTGTCATACGATTTTTTCAGCGTGCGAGCCGCTGGTCCTACTTAGCTAGCCGTCTCCAATAGCGGTCGATGTCCACACGACCAGCGTGGAATGCATGCTCATGAATGTCCTCCCTTCAGACCAGCGCCCCATCGACAGACCGAATTTTCGTCCGGAAGCGCGCCGACCTCTCCGCCAGGGCGCATCGATGCGGTAATCAATGGACATTTTAAAGTGATTATTTCAGCGCCGCATGCGACACAATCATGTTAAAAGGATAGGCAACAAGTCGGCGGTCGGCATTGTACACAGCTCGGGCCTGACTGATTGCTTCCATTGGCGGGCGGCCGGGCCGAACGTCGATTAGTTGCTGCCGCCGACAATAGCGAGTGCCCGAGTGGTTAATCGCCACAATACGGGCGGCAGGCCCGACCCGCCCTCAAAGCAAAGTCGGCCGCCGCTCCCATTAAATAAAACGACGCAAAAATGCATTAACGCCCGCGTCACTATGAAAGGGACAATTTAACAGTGGTGAAAGGTGGCGCCGGCGCGCGGCCTGGACGAAAATGGAGCCTGAGCAAACTTCGGGCGTGTTTGCCGCCGTCAGCGACAAAGCGAGCGGCGGGCGCCGCCAACGGTTAACCTGCATTTGCCGATGCACTACAATAACTACTGCTGATGGCCGATGTTTGTGGAGCCGCCAGCTTTGTTACCGCTAATATAATTGCGATTGTCCGGCGAGCGCAGGTCGATGCTGCAAAAGATCAGCGCCGCGGCGAAATGGCGGCGCCGCCGGGCAATGGCGGAGGGCGCAGCGACTGCCAACCGACGTCTTCACCGAAGCAGCCGAAGCGGTGCTTGGAGATGCCCGGGACGTGATTGCATGGCGCAACGGTTGCACATTGACCGGGGGGATTGGTAAAAGGTCGGAGAGATGAGTTTAATATTTTTGCAATAAATTAAGTCTGAGTTGTGATCAAGCGCCTGCAACCAAAGCGTCTGCAGGCGTTGGCTTAGGCCAAACTCGAATGCCTTGCTAAACGTGAGGCTCGGTCTCCCAAAGGTATGGCCGGGGATCCACCGATTATTATGGTCAGGCTCAAAAGTATCATAAATGGTCTGTAACCGGCAACTTATTAAATCGCATGCAACGCGCCATAAGTTACAGACAACAGTGGCATCTGTAAAATGTACGAATAATGTACCCACATTGTCGGTCGTGGACGCGTTGCACGACTTCTCATCCTGCGTCTTGCCGGCAGCGCCTTCTTTGGCCGCCTCGAGCAGCGCGTGCCCCCTGATCTCCGCCTCCAGCATGGAGCGACCTCTGACCTCGGCGTCGAGCAGGGCTTGACCCCTGACCTCGGCGTCGAGCAGCGCCCTGCCACCGGTGGGGTCGGGCAGCCAGGGCTGCCGCAGCGGCCGGAAGGCGGAGGCGGGCGGCGCCTTCTGCTGCCGGGCCGGCTCGGGTGGTGGGGGCGGCGGAGGCGGCGGAGGCGGCGGCGGCAGACCGGCGTACAGCCCCGAGTAATCGAGAAGACCGCCAAGCACACCCGACGCGGCCAGCGGGAAGCCGAAGGCCGGCCGCTTCGGCCAGAGATGTGCCGGCGCCAGCGGCGCCAGCTCGGCCCACTTGGCCGCCGGCCACAGGTAGTCGGCGAAGGTGGCCGGCTCGAGCGCCGTCAGTCGCTTGTAGGCGCCGAACGCTGGCAGGCGGGAGAAGCAGGCGGCTGGAGGCGCCACCAGGCTCGGCGTTGGTCGCACCAGGTCCGGGTAGGGCGCAGCCAGCTCCAGCGGCGCCGCGCCGCTTCCGCCGCCGCCGCCGCCGCCCCCGCCTCCGCCGCCGCCGGTCGTCTCGGCGCGCGCCTGCTTGGCGGGCGCGGCGGCGGCCGGCGGCGGCGCGCACCGCTTGCGCGTGCCGCCGTTGAACATGGCCTTGACATCCTCCCAGGCGTGCACGACCTCCTCGGGTGGGCTGCCGTGCAGGCGGATGTGGCGGCGCCACGAGTTGAAGTTGGCGGCGTCCGGCTGCACGTAGCTGGCCTCCGGGGTGCGGTGCGAGTGGAAGATGAACTTGTTGGGCGAGTAGAACGACCCGCACAGCGTGCACTTGATGCACTTGGCGCGCGATGAGTTGTAGCGCGCCGGGTAGAACTGGCCCTGGCAGCCCCAGGCGCACAGGTGCAGCACGTCGAAGGTGAAGTTGTCGGGAAGCTTGGGCGGCGAGTTGTCGCCCAGAAAGCTCTTGCAGAGTCGCTCGGCCTCGCGTTTGGTAATCATGCCGCAGCGCCGGCTGGAGACGGGCATGGCGCCGGCACGTCGCAGGATCTCCAGCTGCACGGGCGTGCACTGGATGCACGTGATGCCCAACGCCACGCGCCGGTTGTGGATCTCGTTGTAGCTGAAGCCTTTGAGCAGCGTGTTGGAGATCTGCGCCAGGCAGAGTCGGTCTTTGCCGTCCATGGTGAGGGAGACGATCGGCACACCGTACAGCACGACGCTGTTCACCTGTGGCACGGGCCCATACGGTCTCAAGGTATCACGTTACGTCCCACTTTTTTATTTTTGAGGATAGCTGTGCCATGAGTGTCAGAATATTGCATTTTCGAAAATCGATCTGTGAATATCAGATGGGTGTTTATCCGCCGAAACAAAGCAGCTGACGCGGTAGCACCATCACCACCCCTGCCCACCCACCCACATCCACGCTTTCTTGAGCGGAGTGACACCACCTAACAGATCCCAGGGCCGTGCTCCAGCCTCCGGCGATATCGTCTCGAGTCCGGCCCCGAGAGGCATGGCCTCGCACCTGGTTCTGTTTGTGCGATGTCTCCTCGCCGCCGGCCGACTCGGTCGACTTCTGGTGTCCCTCCTCCGCCGCCGGTCGACTCACCGTCGAGTCGGGCATCTCCATCTCGTCACGTGACAGCCTGCAACCAATCAGGACGCCGTCAGGCCAGCGCCGGCCAGCGGGTAAACAGCGCGACAAATTATGCCGGATGCCACTGGCGGAAGTTACGAGCAGGGGTCCTGCGTCCCGCCGCGCCCGATTTGAGGACCACTGGGACGCGAGCAGTGAGGGCGGTGGCGGGAGCGGGGAAGTGCGGCTGCTTTCCTTGTCCGCCCCCTGGCCTGTTACGAAGGCACCACTGACCCCGGGCCGTGGCGAAAGCCGTGGGATTTGTATTCGGACCAGTCTGAAGTCACGCACGAGCTCCAGTTCCGGTTTATAGTTCAAAAAGGCTGTGTGTGATTTCCGACGGGCTGTACGTCCGCTTTTCATATTTCCAGCCGGCGAGGTGCGTGCAGACTGAGGTGGTCAATTGGCAGTCAAGCATCCATCGTTTGTGGTGGGCGAAGCACACATCGGTGGTCAAATACCGCAACCACGGGCAGGTTGGCGCCGATGTCCGGGAAGTTCCAAACGCGGCCAGCATGCAGAGCAAGCCAGCTGTGTGAATCAAACCACACATACGTGAGCTTTGCGTCAGAGGTATATTTGGTCTGCCTGACCCGGGCACAGCCTAAACATGTTGTGGTGATTATGACAGCCGTCTTATTTATCGGCACATATGATATTGACGGCCCAACATCCTGGTCGGTCGTGTGGAACGGGTCGGCGAAGAGCTCGTAAGGCGATATCGTGTACGCAGCCAAGCTTTTCAATCTCTTCCTGCACTGACTCCTTATGACGCCACGTCAATTAACCATCGAAACAGCTGCAGCCGTCCCGTCGTCGACCGATCACCCTTGTTTGTTTCAAAGCACAAGTGTATTCCGCACATGGATGCTACGTGCAAAGTGACGATCATTGCTTTTCATGTCAACAATGTTCATCGTGGGAGACACTTATGCAAAGACGTTCGGAGAGAAAAAAAAATATGACGATAGCTGCAGTGATGTACCTCCGCTTAAAAACATCGCAAGAGACCGGCACAACGCTGGTGGGTCCGTCCCACGGGGATGAGCTAATGTCTGAGGATGCCCAATGCATGCATCATCACCGCACAATCTGTACGTCCAAGCCCCGCCAGCGCAGGCTGGACCGGACCGAGACCGGCCGTCCGACGCTGGTCAGCAGCCCCGGCCGCCGCAGCAGCCGGTCAGCACACAGACACGGCACAGGGGCGGCGGGGATGCTGAGCTCAGCAACGCTTAACAAGCGTCCCCGGGGGCGAGCGAGAATCACATCAGCCACACCCGCCGCAGTCGGCGCCGGCCCCCGCTTACGTATTCATGAAAACCCGTCAATATGCAAAATTGCCTGTTACGCCAACAAATTGTTTCACTCAATTGTAGCGAGTGACTTTGATGGGATTAGGATGGGCCTGTCGCTCGCCGTGCAGTGCTGGTGATGCGGTGGACGTGTCGGTCCTGCTGTGACTTTGCTGGGACGGCACTCTGATATTAAGTGACGGCATCGCGGAGATTATCGAGCCCCTGATTAGGCTGTAAAAATGCGATACGTCAGGCGCTTCGTGATTCGCTGACCGGCCTGTGATTCGTTAAAGCCTCGCAACTCATCAAACAACGAAAACGTATTACTTCTGAGGTCAGAGCTTTGCGTTACGCACGTGAAAACATAACCGCATTGCGCGAGACTATACATAAGTTTATGTGAATGCTAGCGTGTGTTTGAACAGCAGCGACCAGAATTGCTTTACCACGTCCTTATTTGCAGCTTAACACGCGGTCGTCGACCAGGTTCCATTCGTCAATGTCATCTCATCATCGTTAATAATCTGGTGCAAATTAATCGCATCAAATTATCATACCACGCAAATTACACAAGTTGATTCAAATTACACCATTTAGCCCCCGAGATCTAATTCGGTTCAATGCTAATTAACTTTTCAGATTACCGGTTAAATTAATTTAGGAACACGTTTCCGACTCGCTATCTTTGTTCCCAAAGTCATCAGTGGAGATAGGGGCAAGGCATAGTTAAGTGGAGCGCTCTGAGCTTCAGCGGAAAGCTTCGCAAACCAACTCAGTACACTGGATCTGGACCACAGCGGCATCTAATGTCGGTGGCATGCACTTCGCACGACTCATTTCATGCATCAGTTTGCACACCTTCATCAGCGGCATTAGACAGCGCTGCTGGGACTGCTGATGACAGCAGTACACGCTGGAATACGTCGGCGATCTCGGACTAAAAACGCTGTGCCCACGACACCGGGTGCAGCGCACTCTATAGCAAGCTGTTTGCATTTGTAGCAAGGGTCTTTCCCGTCCCTGGTCGAAACGACTCGGATGTTACGGCACAGACAAAGACAACTTGAATTTTGCCCTGCGGAAAAAACGGGTGGCCTGTTATCGATCAACGTCCTCTACAAACTCAAATGCCGTCAAGCAATGACCCGTCCTTGGATGATTACGGATTCCATGACTAACACGATCATTGCTTCTGCAGCCCTTTGCCTTGATCGTAGTTGCGAAGCCAAAACGCAACCACCAATAATTCTGGAGCCGATGTAGCCGTCTGCGAAGCAACGGGCAGTCATCAGTACACTGTGGCGCTGCTAAGATCCTGTAGCTTAGCGCGATTCATCTAATAGCCTCGATCAGGTGCTTCATTCGTGGCCACAAACCCTGCTGGGTGCGTCGAAAATTTTCATATGTCCACACAATCGTTTAATATTTTCGTGTCAACGGTATTTGGTATACTGAAGGCCGGTTTTCAGTAATGCAAAGTTATAATGCCGAAAAACCATGAGCATAATGCATACCATGAGGAAAGCATGAGCATAACGGATCATGCATGGGCATGAGCATTTTGTTATAGCAGCTACAATAGAGACAGTGCAACTGCATCCCAGTTCGGAAATGCATTGAGCAAAAATTGCATCCTTGGCGTGAGAGTCCTTGAATAAAAAACCCTGTTTACGCTCACAGCCGCTGTACTCCTCTTGGACTGCCGGCTCGGATTGCCGCCCGTGCCTAAGCCGGCGCGGCAAACACGAGAATTGCGCGCCAAGTGACAGTTGTCTGCCATCGAGCCGCGCTCGCTGCGCGGCGAGCCACCCAAACTAGGTACCAGACGCCGCGTATTTGCTGCCCACCGGGCTCCGTTACGAGTAACTGTTTACACCGGAGTGATTAAATTAATGGGCGCATATTTAACCGGATGAATTTTTAATCGGCTGGCGGGCGATGGCGCGGCCGGGTCGATAGCGCGAGCCTGGACCGAGAGGTCGCGCCGCGGCCGCTGGAGGCGCGTATTTCACGCGGTTATGTTACTTAACTTGTCATTACAAGTCCCCGGCCACTAGCGCCGTCATGCACGCTGCTGGGACGATTATTCACTCGCGTAGCTCTTTAATTCTGCAAGTGGATCGAATCACGCTATGCCGGTGTAAAAGGGTGGAGCCGGGGGCGGCGGGTGCCACTAGGGAGCGCGAGGCTCGGGCGCGACACATGCGGCAGGGGAATAGCGCTCGACATTACGGCGAATCAAATGATTAGATCCCTCAATTGCCGCCGGATCCGTGCAATTACTTTGCAATTATCCTCACAATGGCATAAGTGAAGAATGTAATCCGGGCTTGTTTTGACGGTAGTGCTTCGGACAGTATCGCAGCGTGATCCAATATTGCGAGAGGCTCCGGGCGGCCCGGTAATGCTGACCTGACAGTAACTGCGGGTCTGAAACATTGACGTGTTTGCCGCATGGTGTTTCGCTAATTGCATCTCCGATGCCCACAGGCATTATGAACGCGGCACCAATCTAGGTTATTTAATGCGCTTTGAACCGTTCATAATAGTGGGAATGAGCTCGTTGCAGCCGCATTTCTTGAAATATGAAATGGGAAAAGATCCAGCACGTAAATCTTCAAAACCACCCTGGGCTATTACCGAAATGCATATGAAAAGGTAAACAATAATGAGAATGTTAATGGCTATCATAGGCGCACCGTGTTCGTGCAGTTTCGTTTCGAACATACCCATCACAGCCATTGTGTTATTTGCTGCGGACTATTTAGTGCAATTTTGCACACTGTAGACAGTCCCTTTGGACTGATCCGGTGCTTTGTTTCCATTTGTATTGACTTTGAGATAGTGAACAGTGGGAAGCAAACGAGTCCTGAAGATGGCTTTCAACAATTCGCGGAGCCGACAGTTCAGTGTAATGCGGCAGGCAAAACTTACGTTGACTAATTCTGCGGGATCGAGTTTGCACGGCCTTACAAGCAGAGCGACGTCCCAGGCGGAATGAAGCTCATGTGAACTGGACTTCTCATGATTAGAGTAAACGGAGTTCATTTCACGCGCCCCATTACTTGGTGCTAACTTATGATTAAAGGCTGTGTGTTACGAACTTCTATATGGCATGGCCATGCTTGCTGTGGTTGTGGTCGTGTTTACAACAATACACAGGTGCATGGACGAGAACATTCGCACTTGAAGTGTCCGTGCCGGCTAGCATATTTAAGCAAACGTCTAGCTTTAAATATATGCACAAGGATGCATGTGCACTGAGAACATTCATGTTGGAAACCTTGAGGGAACAATATTAGGAAAGAAATGGGTGCGACCATAATGAATGAGCACTGGCATCTTTCACGGCGTTCAAATGCGCATAGGCATTGCTGTACCACCGTCCATACCTGAAAATTGCAGTTAGTTTAGATGAACTCTCGCACTCAACACACGCATTCAGTGCATGCAGATCATGGCCCCACACACACCGCACGTGGCGCGTGCTATGGAGCCTTATGCAACATTTTTTTAGCATTTCTAAGTTGAGGCTTGATGTTCCGATGCATCTTTGTCTTCAGATGTTCATCTGGCGCCGCTTGCCATCCTACCGCGCATGTGTTGGCCTTCGTTATGGCCAAGGCGTGCTCATAGGGCGCAACTGTGGGCAGAGCGGCACGTTTTGCTCCATGGGGAACAGACCGTGCTTCCTACCCCGTCGGCCGCTCCT